CCATAACTTAAGAGACAACTAAGTTATCAGTAGCACTTCCTAGACCACTCTACCAGGTTTCACCAACAATATCTATAAATAAACGGCCACTGTATAACTACGGCGGCCAAACAATTCGATGTTGTCTAGTTGTGAAACGAATAGTTTCTTGTTTTGGCGAATCCGCGATTTTGTACAGAAGGACTTCTGTTGCTGATGTCTTCTCGTCATTTTTTAGACAATAGGTTTTATTTTCTCCTGGCTGGTTGATGTATTTTGCTACAAAGGATGGTCGGTATACTCACTTGTTGTGATAAAGTAGATTCCACGCTTCCAAGTTTGTGTTGATAATTGGGAAGTCAGTCAAAAGTTTTTCTTAATTCCGTTTTAATTTTTTTTTCAATCTAATTGGATTAACCGGTTGAAAATTGTATTATCCGACGTTTTCGGTTTAGTGCCAATAAAAGCGTTTATTAAAATTTCTCTTCCCATCTCCCTGAAAGGAAAACCGCCAACCGTCCATTCCCAATCGTGCAATTGTTAAGATGATTTTTCCTTAGCTTCGCTGCTATTTTCAAGTTTGTGCGTTTTTGTTCCGACTTTGTAAAGAAAATAACGGAACATTTGTACTCAGGGTGGTTTTTTTCTTCAGACAAGTTTCGACTTTTTAACTAGCCATTTTTGACGGGATTTTTTTCATATCATTCTCAAAGTTTTGATATCTTGAGCTTAATTTTGAAAAGATGGTTCACCTTTGATATTTTTAATGTGGTTACAAAGATAGCCCTTTTGGCCAATTAGGGTTAATGCGCGATATCTTTTGCGCCATTAACGCCTAAGCGGAAACTTATTCCGTCTTAGAAGTCGCTCCAAATGGTTGAAACAGGCTTTTTGTCATAACTTCTACGTTACTAGGAGTGAAATCCATCACTTTGTGCTTTATATGGCGTGTGGGGGGTTGATTTTTGCAAACAAACTTAAACTAAATTTATTATCATTTTTTTCATTTTGTTTTATTACAATTAACTTTTTTTCATGTTACTACTGCTCCATAGTCCTTAAAAGGCAGTCAGAAAAATCAAGGCTTCGCCATGATACAAGTAGTTTTGTTTGACTTTGAATCAAGTTTTCAGTAGTCTGTCAAATTCAGACAAAAAGTTTATGGAGCTATGATAACACAAAAAAAAATGCAATAAAGTAAAATGATTGGTGTGTAACCAACCATTTTAGTTTAATACATTTATTTTTGTGTTATTATAGCTCCATAAACTTTTTGTCTGAAGTTGACACATCTGATTCAACCGCAGAAATTGCCAAGAAATGGGGAGTCGTCAAGAAAAGGAACCCCCCTTTAAATTGACCTACCGATAGAAGCTTACCCATCACAAAACTCATTTATCCTTGGCAATTTTTTTTCTTTTTTGCTGTGAGCTTAATTTTTAGAAAACTTCAGTCAATCAAAATTATTAGCTCAAATTTTCATCAAAAATTACAAACCAAATTCAGTACACTAAATGACAATAAGTGACGAATTATTGTTCCGATTTTCAAAAATAATGAAGAATATATATGCTTGGGGTGCTTTTTTTATTCAGACTATTTTTACAAAAATTGAACGGGTATGAGTATCGATCTGTCCAAAGTTTGTTCCAAAAAAGTTATTTGAGACAAGCTAAGTGGCAGTCGGAACATTTAGGTCTTTGCCATGATACACAAGCAGCCTTGTTGCGTTCCAAATGGAATGAAGCCAGTAACAGTGTCTTTATTGTGATACAAAACGCTGAATACGTCCCTATATAGTTTAAATTAGTGTAAAGGGGTTTTTGTCTTTTTTATCATTTTGTCAAGGCTTTAACCACAAAACGTCTAAATTGGCATTGAAACGCAATCGAAATATTCACCGATATACGAACAATCTTGTTTATCATTTTTGAAGGCTTGTTAAAGATTGCAGTAACGGTGGCCAGTCAATAAGCAGAATGGTCTAAGAGCAGAATGGGTCCAAGAGCAGAAAAACAGAAAACTATTAAATTTTTCAAACTAATCGGTAAATTAAGAATAAGAACTGTCAATATTACCGAAGAAGCAATAATTTATGCATAATTTTAATAATTTAATCGAGATTTTTTTCTCAATTCAATTTAAAAAATTTTGATAAATTTTTCTATTCATGCATATTTATTCAGTTTCTTGGTATTATTGAAGAGTATAATAATTTTTTTCTCAATTAGCCCATATAAATCAATATAACTTATTATGTTTCTGTTTTTCTGCTCTTGGACCAATTCTGCTCTTAGACCATCCTGCTTTTTGCTCCGCCTCCTGCAGTAACCTGCTCGCACAATTTTGTGCTTCTAAAACTTCCTCACCAAGAAAAAATGAAACCAGAAAATAATATTGTTACTAATAAGACTTAGAATTAACCGTTTAATACTTATAACTAGTTTTGTTTTTTAGTATGTTTTGTTCCAAATGCATGCATTATAACTTCAATCTGAAAAATTTTACATGTAAATCTGTTTTTTATCCGCATTTACAGCAAGGCCCCGGATTATAGCTCAAAAAAAATTTTTAATTTATTACAATTAATTTTTTTTCATGTTACTACTGCTCCATAGTCCTTAAAAGGCAGTCAGAAAAATCAAGGCTTCGCCATGATACAAGTAGTTTTGTTTGACTTTGAATCACGTTTTCAGTAGTCTGTCAAATTCAGATAAAAAGTTTTTGGAGCTATGATAACACAAAAAAAAATGCAATAAAGTAAAATGATTGGTGTGTAACCAACCATTTTAGTTTAATACATTTATTTTTGTGTTATTATAGCTCCATAAACTTTTTGTCTGAAGTTGACACATCTGATTCAACCGCAGAAATTGCCAAGAAATGGGGAGTCGTCAAGAAAAGGAACCCCCCTTTAAATTGACCTACCGATAGAAGCTTACCCATCACAAAACTCATTTATCCTTGGCAATTTTTTTTCTTTTTTGCTGTGAGCTTAATTTTTAGAAAACTTCAGTCAATCAAAATTATTAGCTCAAATTTTCATCCAAAATTACAAACCAAATTCAGTACACTAAATGACAATAAGTGACGAATTTTTGTTCCGATTTTCAAAAATAATGAAAAATATATATGCTTGGGGTGCTTTTTTTATTCAGACTATTTTTACAAAAATTGAACGGGTATGAGTATCGATCTGTCCAAAGTTTGTTCCAAAAAAGTTATTTGAGACAAGCTAAGTGGCAGTCGGAACATTTAGGTCTTTGCCATGATACACAAGCAGCCTTGTTGCGTTCCAAATGGAATGAAGCCAGTAACAGTGTCTTTATTGTGATACAAAACGCTGAATACGTCCCTATATAGTTTAAATTAGTGTAAAGGGGTTTTTGTCTTTTTTATCATTTTGTCAAGGCTTTAACCACAAAACGTCTAAATTGGCATTGAAACGCAATCGAAATATTCACCGATATACGAGCAATCTTGTTTATCATTTTTGAAGGCTTGTTAAAGATTGCAGTAACGGTGGCCAGTCAATAAGCAGAATGGTCTAAGAGCAGAATGGGTCCAAGAGCAGAAAAACAGAAAACTATTAAATTTTTCAAACTAATCGGTAAATTAAGAATAAGAACTGTCAATATTACCGAAGAAGCAATAATTTATGCATAATTTTAATAATTTAATCGAGATTTTTTTCTCAATTCAATTTAAAAAATTTTGATAAATTTTTCTATTCATGCATATTTATTCAGTTTCTTGGTATTATTGAAGAGTATAATAATTTTTTTCTCAATTAGCCCATATAAATCAATATAACTTATTATGTTTCTGTTTTTCTGCTCTTGGACCAATTCTGCTCTTAGACCATCCTGCTTTTTGCTCCGCCTCCTGCAGTAACCTGCTCGCACAATTTTGTGCTTCTAAAACTTCCTCACCAAGAAAAAATGAAACCAGAAAATAATATTGTTACTAATAAGACTTAGAATTAACCGTTTAATACTTATAACTAGTTTTGTTTTTTAGTATGTTTTGTTCCAAATGCATGCATTATAACTTCAATCTGAAAAATTTTACATGTAAATCTGTTTTTTATCCGCATTTACAGCAAGGCCCCGGATTATAGCTCAAAAAAAAAATTTTAATTTATTTAATAGTTCCTTAAATACAATCAATTTCGTTCAAGAAAAATTAATTAAAACTAAAGATTACTGAGAATTGCTGCAGTTACAGCAAAAAAAAAACTTTTCCAATGCGTTTTTTTATTAAAATGTCTGGATCTATTCCAGTTCTCCCTTTGAATGTTATGTGAAATTCATTTGATTAAAGTCCATATATATTGACTTTTCATGTTATAAAAATAAACTGAAATAAAACGTGTCAGCATGAACAGGTGAACAAATTTTGGAATTATTTCCCACATGCAAAATGGCCTGTGAACCATTTTTCAACAGTTTCATTTTTGTAATTTTACGAGGGGGTTGGGAAACTGGAAAAGAGCCGCGAGTCGTAAAGAAAGTTCTCGAATATTCCATTTTTGGTAACTTTAAGGGAGAAATTTTCAAATTTCCAGGTTTGTAATTTACAGCATCTAATCAACATCCCCGCCATGTGATCACAGGTGAAGATGTCAATGTTGGCGTATAATTTTTTGAAAAACTGTCTGTTTTCTTGAGAATTTCAATATAAATGGTAAAAATAACGCGCATCTCTCTGATAAGTTTATTTCCTCTATTTTCTCAGAAACAGTTGGTTAACTACAAAAAATAGCCTGTTTACAAATGGGGCCTGTTAACAGCATAGGAACACATTCAAAACATTTTTGGCAATTTTTTCGATTTTTTTAAGTTTGCGTTGTTTTTTTTGGGAAAAGTTTCTGAGCACTTTTCTGTTAAGAAATTTGTAAGACAGCAAAATTTCCTAAAATTTAAAGAAGGGAATGTTTTGTATGATGGTCAACCCGAGCAGTTTGGCCGCGTAAAGCCTGTACTCGATCTTTACCGCCGCTGAAAATCAAAAATGTGCTGTACTTGTATTTCGAATTGAATTACTCTCAATTTAAAGCCCTCTTCGACTTCAAACAAAATGGCTTTCAACACTTGAATGGCAAATGATTCAGAACAAAATCTACATCTGAGAAGAAACTGTGCATCATAGATGTTATATAATAATACGACCCTTGAAGTAAGAAAGAAAAACACTCTGCAAATAAATGATCACCGTTGTCATCAAAACCCGCATTATTTTTTCAGTTATGATTTATGTATTGAATTGATGATTGCTTTAAATTTCGTTGCAAAAATGAGTTCATAGTTCATAACTGGTTCTACTTTGATGTCATCATTTTGACAAACTCCTCATAATTCACTTGACCATCGCCGTCAATGTCGGCTTCTCGGATCATCTCGTCCACCTCTTCGTCTGTCAATTTCTCGCCGAGGTTAGTCATGACGTGACGCAGCTCGGCGGCCGAGATGAATCCGTTGCCGTCCTTGTCGAACACTCGGAATGCCTCTTTGATCTCCTCTTCGGAGTCGGTGTCTTTCATCTTCCTGGCCATCATGGTGAGGAACTCGGGGAAGTCTATGGTTCCGTTTCCGTCTGCGTCCACCTCATTAATCATGTCCTGCAGTTCGGCCTCTGTCGGGTTTTGGCCAAGGGATCTCATCACGGTTCCCAACTCCTTCGTGGTGATGGTTCCATCTCCGTCCTAAATCACAGTCAAGCATTGAACTTCAGTAAAAACCGTCAATTGTTTGATTGAATAGATCGACTTTGTTTATACAACATGATGAAACATTGGAAATGTAACAAGCAATACTTTAGAATGAATCTGACCAGATCTGCAATTTTTATTTTAAAAAAGTCTCTGCAAAGTTTCAACGAAAAGTAGATTTTTATACGATTTATTATAATAATTATAATACGATTTTGTTACCTTGTCGAAAAGGGAGAAAGCTTCTTTGAATTCAGCGATTTGTTCCTCGGTCAGTTGATCGGCCATTTCTTATTGTGTGTTGTTAACTACTTTTAAATTGTTTTTTTTTCTTCAAAATATGAGTCTGATTAAAATCTACGACTTTCTTCGCTTTTCTTTCAATTAATGAATCGTGCGGCACTTTTGTCCTGCTCTGGCGTATTTCTGATGATTAAAAATAATTTATAAAGTAAACTTGTTTTAGAACCGCCAACACTCTTGTTTTGACTTGATCAAAATTTGCCAATGGTCTACTAAACTATTCGGTCCAAATAACTGAGTAAAACGTCCAAAAATGAATAAATCTCGATTACTTATTTACGTTGCCGACAATAAGGCTGAACGAATTTCAGACACGTTTTGATATGAAGTCGAGCTATTACTGGTGATAAACTAAGAGCAAACGACGTTTAAGTTATATTTGCGCAAGCGTTTCAGTTTTATTCGAGAAATCCGATGATAAATTTTGTCTAGATTTGTTGTTTGAGCAATTTACAAAAGCGAACATTGACTAAGCATAAAAGCAAATGCTAACAACGTTTGAAGTTGAAGAAAAATGGCTTCAAATCAAATAGAAACGGGAATAGCGATAACTTAAAATGATAGCTCCCTGGTGAACTGTTCGATCGAATCAGAACCAAAATTGGAAAACAGCGAAATAAAAAAACTGGCAATAAACTTGATTTAATACCAATTTTTCTTGTTTTTATAAAAATGTGTGCTTATTGGTTAGTTTTAAAGTGAGCTTACTCAATAGTAACGATTAAGTGCAATATGTGGACATCTAATGAAACTTTAAAAGAGGATTTGCGGTCCTTTTTTGCGCATTGATGAAATGTGAAAATAACGCTTTTGCATATCTTATGTCCCATGTTTATTTAATGCATGTGTTTTTTCGAGGCGCCTTCTTTGATCCTCAGAGGAAGTTTTTTTGCGGTGTCGCAGCAGCTGTCGTTTCTTTTTGCGTGTCGAGGACATCGATCCTGAGGCGTCCGTCAAATCCTGATATTTAACACCACTTATTCTAGTATGCCAATTCAATCATGATTCATTAAAGACACTGTAAAGATTAAAAAATCATCGAGTCGCCAAATGACGTCTTCAGACTTGACCAAGTTTGAGATCATGTACTTTCAATGAAAAGGACCAGCTGTTCAGTTCATAACATACAAGCTGTTCAGCTCATTACGGAGAATCGATATTCTACCCCTGACTGCTGATTTAGTTTTGGCTTTAGTTGTATCCTAGTTGGACGCAAAATGTCGCTCGTTAGTGCTTGTAGGTTCTTAAAAGCTTTTTTTAAGATCTCAACATAATCCGTTTTCGGTCAAAAGCTTACAAAATGACATTTTTTGTCAGATTCTTGCACGTTGGGAATTTTTCTGTAAGAATTTCACGAAAGTTTTTCCGATCAGAATCGTATAAAACATAAATGTTTGTATCAGAATCTTACAAGATGGACTTTTCAGAACCTAAAAAAAATATTGCTTTAAAAACAGTCATTGGTGCCTGTAAAAAACTATTTTTTTTTTGCTGAAATAGTTCATTTTTGTTTACAGAAAATTTAAATTCGATAAAAATGATATGAAAAAAATGATTTTTTTTTGTGATTTACAATACAAACTTTTAATGTGATTTTTTTTTGGCTTTTATTTTCAACTTTTTGTCTTGTAAAAAATTTGCTGTTGTAAAGAGTCCTTTTGCCATCCTACGATGCGGTCTTTTGATTTATTCGCCCAAATTAGTTTCGGGATTCAAAGTATGAAGCAGAGAGCAAAACGCCGATCGCGCTTCGCTTGTTAATCTCAATGTCATCCCTTTTTTCTTTAGCCGATTTTCAAGGCCGAGTTTTGGGTAGATGTTTTTCTAAATTTTGTGGTCAGCTCAGAGCTCTGCAATTTTTCTGAAATAAAGTTGAATGTTTTACGAAACAATCAAAATTTTTGACCACTCGGCTTACAAAATATTCGAAGCTGATGGTGGAATCTATTTTTCTAATTCTAGCTAATCAGAATCAAGCATTTCTATTTTCAATTCAAGATTTAATGATTGAAGGGGAGGGGGGTGGGGGGGGGGGGGGTATTCTCATCTTCGAAATACTAAATACGCGAAAATTCACAACCAATAAAATCTCTTTAGATTGTCTAAAATTTACTGCGTGTATCGCACAGATCCTTCGATTTTATTAATACTGTCAATGCACGAAAATTCTGGCATCATTTTTGGGCATTATTTTTTTCGCGCATAAAGACCTCCCCGATTTTGCTCAGAATAAGTAAGAAGACACCTACGACGTGCCAACAGCGCCACCAAATCCTAGATATCTTGAATCCCAGATAATTTTTATAGCTCTTGCGATAAGCAAAGATGTTGCAATCGGGTACTAGATTTTTTTAGATGTAAACACCTTTGTTTAAAAGATGACTGTTGTTGTTCATTTCCATCTATTCTCATGTCTGCAATTTAAACGCTGTTCTATTTAAACGCTGGTGCGATTAGCAAAGGTTTATGCTGATTTTTTTATGGTTGTAATTTGAACTTCTGTTACTTCATTATATCATTTTTTTGTTCTTAATTCTCTTTGTTCGGCTTGAAAGGTTCGGCTAGTAATATATCGGCCTAGAGGCCCCTTTTTATGCCGTCTGATCCTCCAAAACGGTTTTATTTAAATGTTTTAGGGTCCATTTGAAATTTTTTTTCGGGTTTTCAAGGTTTCCTAATAAACCACTTTTTTCTTTGCAAGGTGTGTCTGCTCAGGAACTTTCGGTTTTGTTACCGCTTTTTAACTGTTGTTTCGATGTTTGTTTTTGCTTCGAACATTCAATTGTCTACCTCTTGGCATATTTTCCAGATATAATTTTTTATGCAAAACAAAATTAAGATAAACTAGGGAAATTGGTATATCCAAGTTTCAGTTTCGCCCAATTTAACTATAATGCAAGCTGAATGAGTACACAAATTTCAGTGAAATAGTTATGATCTAGTGATCGTGTTAATTGCTTTTTTCATGGGCATTATGCTAAACATTAGACACACATGCTAAAGGCCGTTCGCCATAAACGTCTTTTTTCTTTCCGTCCGTGAATGCGCTTTTATAGGATGTTTTTACAACATCCAACATTATTTATGTTAACCCACTAGCATAAGCGGCCTTTCCCGAATTTTTGTCTGTTTTCACAACTCATGAAAGTATTTTTTTTATTTTTTTTTCAATACTTTTCTTGGAATTTATGACTTGTTTCAAAAACTCTTTCTCTCCCCAAAATCAAAGATTTTTAGTTCAATAAAATAACGGGTTTTGCTCGAAAACTCTCGTGCATATGTGGCTTAGCCCAAATTTCTCTAAAACAAAACTTATGGCAGTCGGAAAAAGCAAAGTTTTTGTTTTATGACAATTATCGAAACTTTTGAGTTTCTTAAAAAGTATCCTTTTGAAGCTCAAACTTGGTTTCAAGCAAACAAAAGTGGATGTGAGAAGCTCTTCTGTATAAGCGGATAACTCTTGTGTTTTTTCAGAAAAAAATGGCTTTCGGAAAATATTTTTACCGGTTTTTGGAGAATTTGATTTTTCTCGAAAACTACCCCGCCAATTCTCAGCTTAATGGGTCAATCGAACAAACACATAGTGGAATTCTTTGCTGGATAAACTGGTACGACTTATTTTTCTAAGAAAAACTATAAGACTCGGACAATCCAGTCTGGATTATTTTTTGACCGTTTTATGGAATGTTCTTCGACTTCTGAAAAACCACCCTACCAAATTTCCCTTTAAGGATTAACGCGAATACAACGTTTTTATATTTTTTTCGCTGAAGCGTCGACTCCTTTATTTGTGTATCAAAAGATGTTTTGTTCAAGTTCTGTAGTTTTTGCCGATTTTCATTTTTTTTCTCAAAAACTACCCTGACACATTACGAGGCCAAACTGTAAATTTTGTGAATTGTAAGCGCATTCCGCAACAAGGACGCTCCTTTTGTTCTTTTTTTTCTGTCATTCTCTTTGATCCTTTCGACAAAATTATTACATGTTTAAAGGCTTGTCTCTGGAATCCAGGAACTTACAGACACAAAATTGTTCGCCTATCCAGTGCACACTTTGGCCTCGTAATGCAAATATTAGACTTTGAGTTCAACAGAAAAGACAGGTTGAGTTAATCTTTTTGGTATAGGTGGCTTCGCAGTCACAACTTTGATCAAATGAACAGGTTTTGAAAGAATTCCAATACCTCGGCCAAGAAAATTTAATATATGTCTCATCTATACTAGCAGCTAATCACTTATTTTACTAGAGAAACAACTATGGTTTTGGGCCTTGAAAAGAGCGCATTTCATGGCACATCAGGAAAGCATATCCTTAAAAATATCAAAGTACTTCCAGTTTTTGCTGGTTTTTTAGTTTTTACTATTATTGAAAGTTGTTCTGGAGCTTAATTTATGGTTATTCTGTAGGTTAATTTACGAACTTTGATTTTTTTTGTTTTTTTTTATATTTTTTTTTTGATTTTTTATTAAATGGGTTCGGCTTATGTTTTATCGACTTAGTCAGCTGATGCTGCGTAGTTTTATGGGCAACTTTTTAAGTGTTTTCGCTTTTTTTGGGAGGGATTGGATTTTAAGATATTTGATTTTAAGTTTTTTTAGCTTGAAAATTTTTTGATTTCGTTTTCGGCTTAATGAGTGTCGACCCAAGTTTTTTTCGCCTTAGCTGAAGATCGTTCATTGATTATCAAGGTTTTTTAAGGCTGTTTATGAACCTCATCCGAACCAAAGATAGGAAAATGTTGTAGACAAAGTTTTTTCGCTTACTGTTTTTAGCTTATTTTTCAAAAACTTGACTTCCTTCTTTTTTCTATCAACATCTTGTAATCCAATGTTTTTATTGTGTCGCAAGTGCTGCGAAGCTCCGCGTCGCCTCTGTGTAGACGTTGTCTTGCTACTTGAACGTGAGTACTACTACTATCGAGTAGATAACAATTGTACAGTTATGGGGAGCTCAATTTTTGAAAAGTTCAATAGCTTAAAAGCTATGGTTAGTCACATGTCATGAAAGCTATTTGCCAAAATTCCTATGACTTCCCTCATGGCAGAAGGATCTACCGACAGAAAGTTTCAAACTTATTTTTTATTTTTCAAAAACGACTCATTTTTCCGTTTTTTAACAAATAAAGTACTAAATTCTGATTGGCTAACGCTTCAAGCTTCCTGTTGAACGTTTTGTCGTTCTTTTCTTCTACAATAAGGGATTCTCCAGTGTAGACTGTGCTTATGCACCATACTGCTTGAACCGACATACTACTCGAACTGCAGCTGTAGATTTATAGATTGAGATCATTGAATGTCAAAAACGGAAACCGAAAAAAAAAACACTAAGTTATCGCGCACATGCATTTTTATCAGTATCTAATAAGCGCTCGCGTTATGCGGTATGTCCCTACAAATAGTAAAGTTTTAATATGTATGTAGCTCTTCGATTAAACAATTGATATAATCGTGTATTCTCCCATTTGCTACTTTTTCACGACGGGTTCATTCTTGGCCGACAAAATATACCTCTCATTTTTGCAGTTGTTCGACTTTTCACGTAATTAAGTTAAATTTGAGAGTTTTTAGGGCGTCAGGCATTGTTTCATTTTTGAAGTTTTCAAACTTTTTGAAGTTCAATAATTAATCATGTTTCTTGAAGTGAGGCTCCCTTGACTTGAAAATTTGATTGACTAAATTACCAACAGAGCCAACGCAAATGGTTTTATGACTAGAAACGTTCGAAACATCAGTCGTTCACTTCACAGACTTTTCGCTTCATAAAGTTGATGAAGATAAATGAAGACTTCTGATTGGCTGCTGAAAAGCTGCATTGCCGTCACCGAGTAAATAAAAGTTGAACGAAGAAAGTTCTCTGTTGGTAAAGCAAACTAACCAACTAACTACACGCAGAGGTAAAAGGTGCGTCGCTGATCGATCTGAATGATTCAACTCGATATTTTACAGCTCACAACTGTGCTAAGGAGAATTAATTTAACATGCAATTTTTGATCTGAAATAAAAACAATTTGCATATGATGAATAATACTCATATCAGGGGCGGATTTAGGGAGGGGGGGGGGGGGAGGGTTGCGGCGGACGCCTTCCTTCAGGGATTCGACCCTCTGCCGACCCAAAAGGTCCCCCTTAAGTACTTTTTAAGAAATCCATTTTTGGCCGACCGAACCTAAAATTTTTTTAAAAGCGCCTTGGGCGCAAATATATACTAACTTTGAGGGGGAGCGCGC